TCTCTCGTTTTATTTATCATTTATTCTTATTATTCTTTTGTTTTATATTCTATATCATATATTCATATCATTTTCATTTATATTTTATCACTTATTATATGTTATAATAACATAACACATATGATTGAATATATAATAAATATCATGTTTAAATTATACATATAAATAATAAACATAAAAAATAATACAATATTTTTTTCATTAATAAAATATTGTTAATCATTTTACATCATTAAATTAGACACTTTTATTTCATATTTCTAATTTTTACATTAAAAATACACCATTTTCATTCTTTTCTTCTTTTATTACATCTTTGTGATTTATTATTTTTATATTCTTCTTCTACTTTATTTTTATTCTTTTATATATTTTTATTATTTTATATTATTTGTTTTTCGTTGTTTTTCTATTTCTTTCTTCTATTATTTATCAATTTTATATTCATTCTTTCTTTTTATTTTGTTTTTATTAGTTCTTGAGTATTGTATATTTCTTTAATATTTCATTTGTGTATTATCAAAATATATGTTTTATTGATTTTATGTTGAACAAAATATTAAATAATTCAATATTTTCAATGTTAAATATTCATTATTTATTCTGAAATGTTGTGTATATTTATTATATTAAATGAATATGATGAATGAATATCAATATTATTGTTTATTTGATTTTAAAAAAAAATAATAAATGAATATGAAATAATGAAATAAAATAATGAAGACAAAGAAATGATAATGAAATAGAATAATCTAATATTGAACAAATCAAATAAAGAATATATTGAATATATCATTATTGTTACTTTATTATTTATTATTTCAATTATTAAATATTAATAAATTATTATTCATGAATATTTAATTGATTGATATTTTACAATTTCATTTTCATTTTATTTAATAAATGAAATATAAATAATAAATGAATGAATAATAATTTAATATATGAAATAATAAAAAGAAAAGAAAGATAAATAATAAAGAAATATGATGTATTTAATAAAAATATAATTTATTATCAAATATAATAATAATATCAAATGATGAATTATTTTTATTTCAAAATATTTTGCATCCATAAAAATGTTGCTAAATATTTTGCATCATTAATTTTTGCATCATTAAATTTTGCGCTTTTTTTATTTGTTTCAATAAAATTTGCATCCTTTATTTTTTTCATTCTATTCTTCTTTTATCATCTCTTTTGTTTTATTACACTTTATCTTCTTTCTTTTTATATTCTCTCCTTTCTACTTTTATTCTTTCTTCATCTTCATCTACTTTTTACTTTCTTTTTATTCTTTTATATCATTCATTCTCTTCTTTTTCAATTATTTGCTTTTTTTCGTTGCCATAAAATTATTCATTTTTTGTTATTTTTATTTATTGTATTGTTTTTTATTATTATTTCATAATTATCTTTATTTCTATTTTCATGAATTTGATTTATTTATGAAATTCATTTTGTAATAAATATTTTCATCCATAATATTTATTATTACTATTTTTCACTTTTAATTTCATATCATTTTGTATTATCTCATTTGTAATAATATGTATTTATTAAATAAGAAATGAATTATTATTTGTATTTCTATAATTCATTTGTATTCTTGTTATTATATTGTTCTTTCTATTATTTGTATATTTTATCATTATACATTTCTCAGGTTATTGAATATTTTACCATTTCTATTCATTTATATATTCAAAAATGAATAATACAAATAATAAATGAATAAGAATGATGAATCATTTTAACTCTTTTATATGAATATTTTATTTATTTATATTTTGATTTATTATGTTGTTTCAATTGATATAATACTTGATTATTCATTACTTTATATATTAAATTATTTTATTATTTATTTTTATTGTTATAATATTTCTCTTCTTTTTGAAATGTCATTTAACACTTTTTCATAAACAAAACATAAATAAATATGAATGACAAATATTAATACATCAATCAATTAAAATGAAATAAATAATCAAATCAATATTATTAGTATTTTTAAAAGAAATAAAATGAATAATAAATTTTATGAATGATAATATATAACAATGTTTTATTCTTCATTTCATTAATTAAATAAATTGATAAAATATCAAAATGAATAACATATGAATAATATAATAAAAATATAGAATGAATAACTCTGATTGAGTATAAATAGATAATATTAATTATAATTATACACAATCAAACATTATTTTAATTGTTTTAATTAATTAAATGTTACAACACTTCTTTGACTGGAATATTTTTTAAATACCAGCAAAACAAACCAACAGATAATAAGGACAATCAAAGTAATCAACAAGAATTACAACAAACACCTATCAACCAACCAAATTATGGCTATGAAAATCCCCAGCAAAACTATTGTTACCAACAACAACCATACCAAGGATATCCTATTCAAAACCAATATGTCCAGCCACCTCCAGACCAATATATACAACCACCTCCAGACCAATTTACACAACCACCCCAACAACCTTATTATGCACCACCACCTCCTCCTCAGCAATAAAATAAACTAATATAATATTTTATTGTTTTATAGTTATTATAAAACACCCACCTAATAAATTATTATCAATACAATGTTTATAAACCAGTGAAAATAATTTTCAAGTAATAAAGTTTCATTTCATAAATTTCTTTATTAATTTATCTCATCCTTAAGTAGTAAAGTGATTATACTCCTTGTTAATGTTTATCTAAATCTTTTTTTTCTAAAACAAAGAATAACAAAGTAAGAAAGTCTTATATTTATTAATACTGTTGATAAGTAGAGTTATATTTTAGTTAATGTCAACAGAATATATGTAAATTCTTAGATGAAGCAGCGAGCTACAATTTTTCTTTTACTCTTTCTGTTTTATGTTCATTGAAAATAATAATAGTTTTTATCCATGCTGTTTAAGAATAACTACCAAACAGTTATTATTAAAAACAAACAACTAATTCAAAATATATGACTTACAAAATGGTGGAGGAATTACATATGGGCTTTGCTTCAAAAACACACTCTTAAGTGATTTGATTGACTTTAAATTTATATATTTTGTTGAATGAAATATTGCTAATAGTTGAATGTTGTTTGATTGAATTATATCATCCTGAATATTCCAAATACTTAGTTGGTGGAGATAATGGTATTGATTCAAATTAAGACACCGACATGGATTATTATTCCAAGATGATTGAATCAAAGTGAGTTGAAGAATAATTATTAATGGGAAAACAATTGAGATTCTTTGTGTATTGAA